ACCATGCTCTGATACCAGATGATGCAGGACTACTTTAGATGCTATGGTTATGGTTTCATTTGAGCATTGCACAACTATTGAATTAGAATAATTTCAGAACAAAATTATAAGCAATCTTCAAACGACGATTAAGACAAATGAAGCGATCAATTGCGTAGGCGAAATCACATGCTCCGAATTTGAACTATCAAGATAATTGAGAAAATAAAAACAATACCGAATAGTAGTTTTCAAATTAAATCCCTAATCTAACAACGAGACGTAGGATGCATAGACGGCACGCTCAATTCCTACGAATGTCTAAGCTTAGCAAGAGCACTTGGAGGAGCCTTTATGAATACAATCAAACCCATTGAGAATTTAGACTTTAGAAGACTTTGAATGCGAGTGTAGAAGGACAAAACCTTTGCTCAAGGAGACGCGGAGATCTTCCACTTGACGTCAGCAATCTCGATCCTTATTGTAGAGAAGGAAGTTTCTCTAATAAATGGGTAAGGTTCTTCTTCCAAGGGTTGCCATCAACATCTCACTTTGAGCTCAGATTTTGCTTTAGAAATCTGAGATAATTCTCAGATTTTCAATGCACAGGTGGTATTGGGAAGAAGGGAATCTAAGGCAATTCAATGGCTTGGCGTGAAAAGAGGAAGTGAGCTGTTGAGGAGAGGGAAGGATCGGTCCAGGTAACGCACGCCCAGGAGCAGGAGGGGGAAGGGGGCGGGTTGATCCACGGGAGAGGGAATTAATTTCCTAAATCAATGCATTAACTTTAGGAAATTAAATACTTAATACAGTGGAAGAGTTTCGGCTGAGTAATGAAGGGAGAATTTGAAAATTTTCCAAAGTGGGCTAATAGGCAATTAGGAAATACTTTCCTCCTTGGCCAGAGGGGAGCCGGCGGGAACCTGGGTGAGGGAATTAATGAGAAGATTTGATTTTCTAATTTAGACTTAAGGATTTAGGAAACATTTAATCACATCCAATTTGAATTAAAATTTCAAAATAGATATGAGTTACAACTTTCCTAAAATAAGTGACTAAACTAGGAAAGAGTTTGAAATTCAAAATTGATTGAATTTGAATTTCAGAATTTTTTTACAGGTGGTCTCCAACATAATTAGGGAACTCAAAAATGAATGGAAGTGGGGTGTGGCCGGCGGCATTGAGGCTAGGCCGGCGGCAAAAGAGGTTTTGGGGCAAGGTGGCCGGCGGTTTGTGGAAACGACGGTGGTGGTTTCCGGGTAAGGGGAAAACCGTGGGTTTTGGGAGGAGAGGTGGTCGGGTGTGGTGGAGAAACCGACGGCAAGGTGGAGAGGCTTGATTGTAATCGCAAAGTCTCATCCAAGTGCTCTTGCTAAGCCTAGTAATTCGTAGGTTATTGAGTGTACTTTCTTTGCATCCTAAATCTCGTTGTTAGACTAGGGATTACATTGAAGACTTTCAATTGTCTTATTTATCTTGAAAATTCCAACGCTTTGAGTATGTGATTTAGCCTACGCAAAGCATCTCTTTATTTGTTTTAGTCAACATTGAGAATTGCTAATAATTTTAATCCAAAACTATTCTAATCAAAGAGTTGTGCAATGCCTAAAAGGAAGCCATAAGCATGTCATCTAATTAGTCCTGCATCAGCTTGATTATTAATTTGATGCAAATATAGTTAATTAATAATATTTAATGAGTTCAAAAAATTATCGCAAAGTGTCACAATATTATATGTATACAACAAAAATATTGGTCTTGATTTTTTAATGAAATTCCTTATATTACTATGAATTATACATGTAAAGCTACATTATCTCATAATTTCATAAATGTCATGATCATTTCACTACTCATGTCCACGATTCCAAATGCAAGTTATTACCTAAGTTTTGCAAACTTGACCGAATATTGAACAGGAAGAAGGAAAGAATAACTCAACGTTAAATAATATGATATGAAAATTATTTACATATTATTGATGGACTGTGATGATTACATTCAAATACCATGATCATGCTATAAACAAAGCATATGACATAAAAATATGCCAAATGTTATGATCATTCCACATTCCATAATTATAATCTTAATTATATGAAGCTATTATGAATATATCATCCTGAGGCCATATTCACTTCCTATTATTATGAAATGCCAATTTTTATGTTTATATATTAGAATTACAACAACTTAGAGTTTTACAATTTGATTTCTTATTAATCTTCTTAAGCTAAAGCTATTAAATTTATTATCAAATGACTATAGGCAAACCTTTGTACGTAATACGTATATCTATGTTCTCATGTTATTTGAATGTTCAATGACTAGCATATATATTTCTTCTTCTCCATTATAATTACTACTAATTGGAATTATGATTTACCATTGAAAAACTTATGTGTACATATAGTAGCAGCAATGATAACACAAGTTCAACATGTACTTCTTAAGAAGAAAATAGTTGTTTAATATAAGGAATAAACTTTATATCTAGAGAAGAACCTCACAAGAATACATATATGTATCAACCTGCTTCTTTATCTCAATAATAACAATAATAGAAGATATCTTAATCTTAGTAAAAAGCTTGGGTCCAATCATAGATTTAAGTTGAAGAATACTCCCAGGCGCAAACTTAAGGTTAGACTCCACAAGGGACTTGATTACCAATGATTGATAATCACAATAAGTTCATTTCTAAAACTCGGATCATCACAATAATAATCCTAAATAAACAACTTAATTGCATCTAGTGCAATGACAAATTGGGCATTAAAACTTTACTTTTGAGTCGATTAAAATTTACGACTTGAATCAATAACAACACTAATAGACATCAATTTTATTGGGATTGGGGCATAATCATGCTTTGCTTGCATATTTCAAAATTTTTTATCGACATTAATATAAAAAAATCATAAAACATTATGCTAACTTATTGATGGGAGTTTGTTGATGGTCACGTTGCTTGTTCTCCCTTCTTCCAAGATTGAATAGCTTCGACCTACTTTATTTCAATTCCCAATTAAAAGAAACTTCAGTTCAAGTTGTAAGGAGAGGAAGCTGGAGAGAAAATTAGGACAAGCCACACCCAGAAATTGAGGGAAGAGAGAGAGGCTTCCATCATTGGATTTTGAGCCAAGAGAGAATAGTCATGAAGGGAATCTCGGGATTAGAAATTGCAAAGTAGGGGAGGGGTGAGATGTCATGGGATAGGGGAGAGAAAGAGAGGAGAGGAATCAAGTGTAAACAACCTGGCTGAAAGAGAGAGAGATGAGAGAAAGGAATCTTTGTAATGCAATTCATCGCAATTTATTATTCAATTACAAGTCATGAAACCCTTATTTATAGAAATAGGGCTCAATTTAAAAATTCAAACTAAATATAAAATCCAGCTCTAAATAAGTTTTAAAATCAAATTGTCTAATTCAAAATATAGAAAATCCTAATAATTAAATACACTAAAATAAATCCTAAAACTATCTAAAAATACTAGGAAATGCTAAAATAATTTTGATGCATATCTTGTATTGCATCAATTCCACTTTTTTCTTTCTCTATAAAATCATCAACCCATATATTACCCTGAACTCGCCATCTTTTCAAGTATCTAAGAACAAAATAAAAAGTTTGCTTTAAATTGCCAATTGATCCTGAACACACCAAATTAGCACGAAGAAAAAACCAAGTGAGATTAATAAATTAATGCCAAAAAATGCAACAACATTTTGAATGAACATAAAAAATAATGCTGATAACGCAAACCAAACAGAGGAAATAAGGCAAGAGAATATACATGTTGGGAGAATTTGAAATGTGTCTATATAAAATTGGGTTCCTTTGGTTCGTTTGTGGCATAAAAGAGTGATCTAGCATCTGAATATGGTATGCTCCATGTGGCGAAGGCGTAAAATGAAATTATGTTTTCCATATAAAATATTGAACAGAGCAATGCAGCTTCATAATATATCATAACCATCTAATAATATACTCATAAGATATACCTAAATATGCTAGCTTCCCATCAGATGTTCGAAGAAGATTTCCAGGATGAGGATCAGCATGATAAAATCCATATTCTAAAAGCTGGGAAAGTGAGCAATAAACTCCAACCTGTTCAGTAACATATATCATGCAACTATTCAGCATCATCCTTTATTATTATTATTATTCAGCATCATCCTTATTAGCTTATAACACCAAGTTGGGATGAGCTTAATGAATTATTTTTCATCCATTCTCGTTGAGTGAAGACAATGCGCTAAATCTACACGAAGTGTTCACATTTAGACAACTCTTTTTAAGGTTACAATACTTATACCAATAACAGGAGAGGAAAAAAAAAGAAAGGGAAAAGGATTCAAAATATAATATTAACGCCATGTTTCTACCTCTACTAGATAAAGATCTTTGACATCCGCTAACTTCTTCCCCTGCAAAAAGTAGATTAACAAGCCGATTCAAAGTTTGGCTTTAGGTATATAATTCCTGAAAAGTCTTTAGAAAATAAAAAACACGTAATGCACCTCTACCCATTCCATAAGAAGGACACGACGGCTGCTTTGGTTCGCATACATTTCTGGCACGAAAACATCCTGTAGCCTCCCATATAGCTTCCTAGATTATTGTGAAAATAATGCCAGTATTATGCAACAATCCAACGCTACACAATGAAAAAAAAAAAGATGCAAGGGAAATACGTTATTAAACTTATCTAAGCACATCGCAGAAAAAATTGTATGGTTGGAGCACAATCATTCTATAAAGCATACAAAAGAGAATAATGTTTTCATTTATACTTTTTTATTCACACAAGAATTTGATACCGGTGATATTAAAGTTTTTCTGTTGGATTTCTTGTGAAAGGGTAATTCTTAATTTTTGTTGCAATTTTGAATTCGTGCAATAGAAGACATGGAATAAGGCAGCAACAATATAATATAACACTCATTAAAATGACCGTGTTAAGAAAAAACCAAAGCATGTTGATAGCATCCTGCTTTTATGATTAAAAGTTGCCAGTCAGTACCTGAACTTAAGACCATTTTTTGCTTCTTCTCTGTAATCCATCTCCTGCATTAAACGCGATTTACCTGTATTCAATGTGAAGTCCTAAGAATATGTATATTACGTTACGTCACACTACTTACAAACTGCATGACAGCATTAAAAAGGTAAAGAAAGGAAAACCCATGCAAGTTAATTCCTGAATTATTGTAGTTGTGTGAATAGGGAAATCTTTTTTTTATAAAATTTATTATATGGATGTTATCAAGCATAGATCTTAATATGGAGACAAGGATATAACACCATAACGACATAGAATATACATATATCTAATGCGCGTATGTATGTGTGTGTCTACACACTTCCAAGCATGACAGACTTTTATACTCCTATGAAAAGAATATTGCACGCATATGTGCGTGCGGCCTCATGCATATACCTATAAATTAAGAAGCTTTTGAATAAAATAATAAACATTAATGCATGGTAGAGCTCATGAGCCACTTGTCAAGCTTGAGCTCAAAGTTTATACGCTAGTTTGACATCAAGGAAAACTAGTCAAGCCGAGCTCAAGCCACATGTGGACCGAGCTTGACTCGACTTATTTACACACCTAGACTATATAGAAATCCTCTTTAGAGTCTAGTTTAATCCATATATGTCAATGGTCAAAAATATCAATTACACTCTAAATATTATCAACAACCCATGCATTTAATACCAATCCTTTGGAAAGTCTTTATACTTGAAATCACAATTTTCTTCAAATGCAATCTGACTCGTTCATCAAAAAATTTTTGATGCATAATGAGCAAACAAACTTAAAATTTCTTGAAATCTGATACGCCCTAGGGTTCCCAAGTTTGGGTTTGCCCTAATGCTCCTTCAAAGAAAAGATTTCTCCTCCAAATCAAGGAAAAAATCAACACAAGAGGGATGAGATGAAGAACCAAAACCTTTGCATTCAAAATCCAAGGGAAAACAAGATACAATTTGTCCACTTCGAGAAGGACAAGGTCTCCCACTACAAACCCTAGAAAAACAAGAGAAAGAAACTAAGGAGGCTAAGAGAAAACTCAAATCTTGCATAACCCTAGAAATCTCTCCCTATTCCTTACTTATAGCAAGCCAAAAGACCAACAAAACCCACTAGTGGGCTGCCCAAAATGACCCGCCCAGCTCAGGGCAGCCCCGAGCCAAACCGGTCCAGGATTGGACCGGTTCAGCTCAAGGCCGAACAGTCCAGCCCGCTCCGTCGCGTCCCGCGCTCTCCTTCGGCTGGTCGACCGGCACGACGAATTTTTAGATGGACTCCAGAGGCTGAAAAAACTTTTCAAATTATCAAAATGAAAATGAGTCATGCTCCAATTCTTAGTCTGCCTGATTTTGAAAAAGTTTTTGAAGTTGATTGTGATGCTTCACATGTGGGAATCGGTGCTGTTTTAAGCCAAGAAGGAAAACCTGTTGCATATTTTAGTGAAAAGTTGAATGATGTTCGATCTCGATATTCTACTTATGATTTGGAATTTTATGCTATTGTTCAAGCTTTAAAATTTTGGAGATGTTATTTGATTCAGCGAGAATTTGTTTTAAACACTGATCACGAGGCTTTAAGATTTTTGGGATCACAAAAAAATCTCAACAAGAGACATGCTAAATGGGTTTCTTTTTTGCAAGAGTATTCCTTTCATATCAAACATAAAACTGGTGTGTTGAATAAGGTTGCCGATGCTTTAAGTCGAAGGTCACATTTATTGATTACTGTTTATCCTACCATTACTTCTTTTGAGTTTTTGAAAGATACTTATGCTTCTGATTCTGATTTTAAAGATATTTGGGAGGCTTGTCTTAATTTGGGAACTGATCCGTCTGGTCAATTTGTTATTCACCAAGGCTTTTTGTTTAAGGGTTCTAGACTTTGCATTTCAAATAATTCTTTAAGAGAACAGTTAGTGCAAGAACTTCATGGTGGTGGGTTAAGTGGTCATTTTGGTCAAGGGAAAACTATTGCTATGGTAGAAGAAAAATATTTTTGGCCTCACATGAGAAAACAAATTGCTAAGTTTGTGAAACAATGCAAAATCTGTCAAGCTTTCAAAGGGACTTCACAAAATTCTGGTTTATACACTCCTCTTCCAATTCCAAATAAACCTTGGGAAGATATTTCTATGGATTTTATTCTGGGCTTGCCGGTTACTGTAAGAAAACATGATTCTGTTTTTGTTGTTGTTGATCGCTTTAGTAAAATGGCTCATTTCATTCCTTGCAAAAAAACTTCTGATGCATCTCATGTGGCTGATTTATTTTTTAAAGAAATTGTTCGACTTCATGGTATTCCTCGTACATTTACTTCTGATAGAGACACTAGATTTTTGAGTCACTTTTGGAGAACACTTTGGGCTAAGTTAGGAACTTCTCTTCAGTTTAGCAGTGCTTACCATCCTCAAACCGATGGACAAACTGAAGTTGTCAATCGAAGTTTGGGAAATCTTTTAAGATGCCTTGCTGGTGAGAAACCTTTTCAATGGGATTTGATTTTACCACAAGCTGAATTTGCTTATAACAATTCTGTTAATAGAACTACTGGAAAAACTCCTTTTGAAATTTTATATGGTCAATCAATTCCTCACATTTTGGATCGAAATGGTTTGTCTTTACCTAGCAAAATAAGTGCTGAAGCATTAGAAACATTTGATCATATCAAATCAGTCCAACAACAAGTTCTTGAAAAACTCCGTATTTCAAATGACAAATACAAAGCTGCTGCAGATAAGCATCGGAGAGAGGTTGTTTTTAAAGAAGGGGATATGGTAATGGCTTACTTCCGTCGTCAGCGCTTTCCCGTTGGTACTTTTGGGAAGCTGAGCAGAAAAAAATTTGGACCTTTTCGCATTCTCCGGAAATTGGGCACAAATGCATATCTTTTAGATTTACCTAACACAGTTGGAACTTCTCCTATATTTAATGTTTCTGATCTTTCTTTGTATGAAGGAAATACAGGTGATTCTGTGGATCTTGAAACATTGCCACTGTCCACTCCTTCGTTGAACCAAGATGATCTGATTGAAGAAATTGTTGATATAAAAACAACAAAGACAAGGCATGGAGAACACCAGAAATTTTTGGTCAAATGGAGCAATCGACCTTTAATTGATTGCACGTGGATTGATGCTGCTGAACTTCAAAAGCGAAATTTGGAGCTCTACAAAAGAGTTGCTAAAGTTTTCTCATCAGGAGATGAGAATTCCCCACCTGGGGGGAATTGATGCATTTAGATTTTTCTGCTTAAATTTTGTTATGAACTATATTTGTTATATTTTCTATTTTTTTGTTTTTTATGCTATCCTATGATGGTGGTAAATCCAATGATCATGGTAGGATGAGGTTTGGATTTTGTTTCCTTGGATTTGCCGGCTTGGGGGGGTCCATTTGTCCTTTGTAGGCTGCTGGTTTCATGAGAACTATGGCTGTTTCGGTTTGAGCTTATGAAGTTAAAACTTTAGTTGTGACAAGCTCATTAATACCTAGTGGAGAAGTAGCTCATTATGAGCTATTGGCTTGCTATAAATTTATTAAAAGGGAACTAGATTTGGTGGGTGGATTTTGCTCTTTCACATTCCTTTTGAAATAAAAATATTACAGCCAAAATTCTGCTTTGGGATTGCTCTCTCTCGGCTGGCTGTTTTGGGATGTGAAATGACTCTTTGGGTGCTGTCATTTCTGCCTTGGCATTCCCTCTGTTGACCGAAAATTAAGCTGCCGCCTGGTTTCCTGTGCTGATTCCACGGTGTGCTGTCTCTGGCTGGTTCCGTGGCTTTGTTCTTTGGCTGCTGCCGCCTGGTTTCCTGTGCTGATTCCACGGTATGCTGTCCCTGGCTGGTTCCGTGGCTTTGTTCTTTGGCTCTTGGGATTTTGCAAATATGCCTCTTGGCCTTTCATTTCTATCTAAAAAATTGGGAACTTTTGGCTGTTAAGTTCCCCCTCTTTGGCCTATATATATGAGGTATTTTGTGAAGAAATGGTTGGTGAATATTTGAGAGCTAAGTGCTTACAAAACCTGAGGGTTTTCTTTGGAAAAGCTTGAGAGCTTTTTCCATTCTCCTTCTCCCCTAGGAAAGCTTGCGAGCTTCTCCTCTTTCTTCTCGGTCTTCTAACCTCCTTCTTCTCTACGCAAGTTCCACCCCACCTGTATCTTTCTTCTAGTTCCGTTGGCAAAGTGGTTGGCTGATTTTGGTTGGCTGTTTTAGAAAAGCTGTGGGCTGTTTCTTTTGTTGGCTGTTTTAGCAAGGTTGTTGGCTGATTGGTGAAGTTTTGGACGGTTTGGTGACATTTTGCTGGAGAAGTTAAAAGGACATTGAATCCCCCTAGCTGTGGTGGACCCTTGGTTTGCATATCTAAACCTTATTTTAAATATTATTCCTACAATCGGTACATGTGAGGAGTCCTCTTGAAGGATGTTCTGAGGATAGTTTTTTTTGTTAAAAATATTGTTTTTCTTGTTAGTCTTCTTTTGTTTTGATAGTTGGAAGTTGTCTTTTCTAAAGATAGTTGTTTTCTTATTTTGTTCTCAAAGTTACGTCTTAATTTTTATAAAAGTAAGATTTGTTTCTCTTGATTGATTTCTCTTTGTGCCTTGCTCTAATTAGCTTGCACCATACAGTCCTATATAATCTTGAAAATCAAGATCATATTATTGATTTTGATCTACAACATAAGCATGCTATGTAGATTGAGTTTCATCAATTTCATTGATGATTAATCATTCATCAAGCATATAAAAAATTCAGGAATGAGTGAATAGCATAGAGAACCCTTTTTAAATGTTCAGGTTTACTCTATTCATTGTGAAATCCTAGCCATCCCTTAGCATTTTGATCGTACGTCCAGGATGAGAATCTGTGGGAGACTCACCTATTAAATCCTAGCCGTCCCTTGGCATTTTGATCCCACGGCTAAGATGGGAATCCATGAGAGGTTCACTTGGATCACGCTGATCTCCTTTCATATTTAGATGGTTGATTTATGAAGGATTATATTAGAGCAATTTGCTTATTTATTAAGATATATTTTTGCTTGATGGAAAAATATAGAGAGAATAAAGAGGATTTACATATGATATTTATTGATTTAGAGAAAGCTATCATAAAATTCCAAGAGAAGTGCTATGGAGAGTTCTTGAAAAGAAAGGAGCTAATAATGTTTATATTCAAATCATTAAAGATATGTGTGCATGAGCTATTTCTTGTGTTCAAACACAAGGTGTTTTGACCAAGTATTTTCCTATTTCAGTTGAATTACATCAAGAATCAGCCTTAAGCCCATATTTTTTTGCTTTAGTCATGGATGTTCTCACTAGACATTTGCAAGAGGATGTACCATGGTGTATTCTTTTTGCATATGATATTCTTCTTGTTGATAAGAGTAGAGAGGGAGTTGAAAGTAAACTTGAATTATGGAGGTAAACCTTAGAGTTTAAAGGTTTTCTCTTGAGTATATGTAAAACTAAATATATGGAATGTAATTTTACTAGTAATAGTATAGACCTAGTGAGGGGATTGTGATTTTGGGCGATCAAGTCATTAATAAGAGTACACATTTTAGATATCTTGGATCTATTGTTCAGAGTGATGGTGAAATGGAATGGGATATTATTAATAGAATTCAAGTTGGATGGTTGAAGTGGAGGAATGTATTGGGCTTGTTGTGTGATAGAAAAGTTCCCCTCAAACTTAAGGGAAAATTCTATAAGATGGTGGTGAGACCTGCAATGCTTTATGGTGCCGAATGCTAGCCATTAAAATAGAAGCATAATACTAAGTTAAGTGTTGCAGAGATAAGGATGCTCAGGGGGATGAGTGGCTTTACCCTTAGAGATAGGACACGAAATGAGCATATACGTGAAAAAGTTAGAGTAGCTTCAGTGCAAGATAAGATTAGAGAGAGTCGCCTTAGATGGTTTGGTCACATAAAACGATAATCTTCTAATGACCCGGTTAGGAAAGTAGAGGTATTAGATTTGACTTATGTTAAGAAAGATAGAAGTAGACCTAAAAGACTTGGTTAGAAAATATTAGAAATTATCTTTTTTTATTAGATTTAAATGAGAATTTGACTTTTAACATAAAACAATGGAGAAAAATGATTCATGTAGCCAACCCCACGTAATGCGACAAAGGCTTGATATTGTTCTTGTTGTATTAAGATGTCTTGTATAGGTCTATAAATAGAGACGAGTTTGTGCAATAAAATTAAGCCTTTCCCTCTCCAATTCTCTGAATTTAACATTCATAAATCAAAACAGTCCATTACATGCAAGAAATCATCAAGAACCACTATATTTGATTCTAAGCAAGTCGAAAATCTCTGCACTTTGAAATTATAATTATCATAATATGCAATTGGCATCATGTATTATGAAAATTTTGATGCATCTAATTTATGATCAGATGAGCTTTGCATCTCACTGATTTTAATGATATTAAAAGGAATGGACAAGCTTGATCTTGCATCTTTAGGAGAAAATATTAAATTTTAATTCCAAGTAGAACGATAAGAATAGAAATGTCCATATATAGAGATATATTGCTCGAGCAAAATTAAACAATAACTTCTTCCCAATTGTAAAAGATTTCAAAATCAAATTTGACAAACAATAAGAATTAATTCATATTTCTCATTATTTCTTAATGAAATATGACAAATTGTAATTCTCATAAATCAGGTGTAATATTCGCTTGTAATGTGTCAAACACTAGCTCATGTTTTACCGATTAAAGTGCTCAAGTATACAAAGGTCTGAGATTATGCCTTTTATGTCAATTATGTATGAGCTAAAGATTTAAAAGATATTCATGAAGCAATTCCTCCACCTCCACTATGACCACCTAACTTTCAAGCAAAGGGCTTCTATGCAACTCATCAGGAGAAGGTATTTATCGGATGCAGAGGAAATGATAAAAAAACAATAAAAATAAATTAGGGTTATTTTAAGATCTATTTCAGTTATTTCATTTAAATTAAAATTTTAATTTATTTTAATTAAAATTAACATTAATTATCATTGTAGATTATTAGGATTGAATTTTGAATTATTTAAGATTGGACTGATTAAAAAAATACTTGATATTATATGTGTAACCATATTTTTATAAAGTAGGAATTCTTTTATTAACAAAAAATATTCACCAGTCCACTTGATCTAATATGTGTAACCATCTCAGGTTGTCAAGACACTTTCTTTTTGATATGGAGAAATTTAATCTTTAAGCATATCGACAATGGGAAAAAATAAATAAAATCCGTCTGTCTAAAACTAGTAATTTATAAAATGATAATAAAAAGGAAGATTATCCCTAAGAAGAGTTGCACAGCCAAATGCTTAAACTATGGATCAGCCAACATCTAATTTTACTGACGGATTTTATTATTTAAATTAAATGCACATGCATGACATATATTGCCCAAAATTTTATTCAAATAAACAAAAAAAACACAAAATATTGTCCTCAGATGGAATAAAATTTGGGGCAATATATGCACATGTGTGATGCATTATTTTGGTTCGTTACCAGCAGAAAAAGCTATACATGCATATTAAAAATCATATAAATTCATTATTAAATGATGTCCAGACATTTAATTTCATTGGCTATATGTGTTGATTGAAAAACCCAAGTCATACAAAAAAAAGGAATGTTTTCATATTCCAACAGAGAGGCTTTGTGAATCCCTACTGTTTCTAGATCTAATTTTAAAGTCAATGTGCGTGAATTTGTTATAAGAAAAGCCACCTTGAGAATGATATATGCCCAGTATTATAAGAATAAAAGAAGGGTTTTAAAAGTATAAGGCTCTAAAGAACTTAGGGATAAGTACATACCCGAAATAGGCTTGATGCCCATTCATCAAGCACGGCCTGCAAGTGAAGGTCCTCAAATAATTCAGCACTGCTATCTCAGAATTCATGGATAAATAAAACATAGCCTATAATGTGCTCCCAAAAAATTACCAAATACCAGAAAGAAGGCAGGAAAAGGTTAGAAGGTACGCTAAAAAATTTTAATTGCCAAAAGTAAATTACATTCTAGCTGTACCTGAAGATCGGTATTCAACTTGGCTGCTTTCTTAATCAAGCCTGCAAGATAGCGGAGGATATAAATATCCAATGAAATTGCTGCCTGCACTCCAGGCCTCTGTACTTTGATAGCAATAATCTTCCCACTAGTACAAAGCCTGGCTTGATAAACCTAATAATTGAAAGAAACAAGTCATCTAATTGCACAACTATAAGTCTTCGTTCAGTCACATAGCACTAAAACAATTTAAATACCTGTCCAAGTGAAGCAGCTGCAACTGGTTCTGGTGAAATTTCTGAGAAAAGGCCATCAATTGGTAAACCTAGCTCCTTTTCCATTATGTTAAAAGCAAGTTCTGTTGAAAAGGGGGCTATTTGATCTTGCAACAATGAAAGCTCGTTCAAATATGCAGGTGGAATAACATCCTAGATGAAATTCAACGAGTAAAGAAATCTAGACATCAGATCTACGTACAGACAGTAAGCAACACAAAACCAGAAACTATGCGCATCCTCTTTATATTTTACTGTATCCGTAAAAGTTGCAATGACACTATTGGTAAGAAATTAAAAGAGGACAGTACCCTCCATGGTCATCTGGTTAGATGCAAATCAAAATTCACTAAGAGTTGAGAATGACATGTTTAAACTATTGAGATAAGGATCAAAATAATCCCCTAACTCTTTACGATGAATCAAAATGATCCTTGATAATTTAAAAATCTTATTTTATAGGGACTTAAAGGATCCCACAAAACGACTAAATTAATAGGTTTATCTATATAGAATTTATTTTAGATCTTAAGAAAAAGTTATGGAGACCAATTTGATTCTTTTCCCTTAAACTATTGAAATTCATAGATTAATTCAACAAGTTTCGTTGGAAGTACTTTAATATGAATTTTAACATCAGTATTAGATGAAGATAATTTCAACATATTAAGTTGTTAACTTTTTTCTAATTCTTTTAATTGTGAAAATAAAATTCTTAAATTTACGAGTGTGGAGTTCACTCCCATTTGATTTCGAATTAGACACAACTAAAAGGACAAATCAAAATAATAGTAATAATAATGATTTATAAATCGTGCTTTATATCAAAAAGAAATTAAATGGCCCCCAGCTGCCCCAGTACAGAATGAAGCACTGGTACTTAAATCCAGTGAAAAAATTTGAAGTGATCTTCTTTCAGATGAGTCATGAAAAACTAAAAAAGACAATTTAATTTTTAATTTCCTACAATTACAGCCTTATAGTAAAACAAACAAGAAGAGCACAAGAGCTTAAAAGCTCCAGAAATTTGGCTTTTTAAAGGTACCCCTGTGAATAGCAGATCTAAGTCAATTCTCTGAATTAGTAAACAGATCCATTTGTTCATTTAGGATGATAAAGCAAATGGTATTGCTTAAAAAGGTGAAAATGGTAAGGCAAGTTGAAAAACTGAAACTTATCGTCTGTCAAAGCAAATGTTTGGCCATGCATAAGATGAGATCATAGTAAATGGCATGCTCGTGTAATGGGCATTCAGACAAGGCAAGTGTTCACCTAAGAGATTTGTAGCTTTTACAATGATTCATTTTGAAAGGAATGTGCCTTTGAGAGCCTCAATAGCTCCACTGTAGTCAGTAGATATCTTAAGCCAGTACTTTCTATCTCAGGAAATTTTTATAACCTTTTTCCTTATTTCATTTTTATCTTCTTGTTTGGGATATGGAATGAAATATCAAGTGGTATTATCATATTTTGTCTGAAAAGCGAGAAGACAATAAAACTACCATTTTTCCATTTATAATCTACAAGGATATGGCTGCAGAAAATTAACTAAGATATCCTAAGCCAAACAAGATTAAGGATCACGAATCCACCCCCATGTGATTATTGGTTCTAGAAAGAAAAAAATATTGAGCATAAAATGTGCATATTATGGTGTGCACACACACACACAAATACACATGGACAAGGTTTTTCAACAATCAAGAAACTAACAAAATTGCACATGTGAGGTCAAAGAAATCACAAAACAATCAAGAAGAAGCATTCCATACGGTTAGACCTGAATGATAGGGAAGATATTCATAGGTTAGAGGCATGGGACAAAATCAAATGCAAGAGTAATGCATAGAAATATTAAAGGTGCTTCAAAGCCATGTATATGCCTTGAGATCTTGAGTGAATTATGATTATTATGAAACAAGAACACAGCAAAAACGTCAAGGAATCATGTGGAAACATTAGGAATCACAGATTATTAAATGATAATGTTAAAGGGGTGATGAGAATAGCACCTATTGAAAATAAGAAAGTGAAAAACTGACTCATATGCTATGGGCATGTACGACGAAAGGCAAACAGATACTTAATAAAAAAAGATTTAGTGCTAGTGTTTGCCAATACAACTAGTATGATGTGTTGCATAATCTCATGCAGACAAAAATAGAGGATTCATACATCACCTAGTAATTGAATCAACAACTTATTTCCTATAACTGCAAACAATCAATACTATTGCACCTAAATTTATAGGTACTATGCCACATGTGCAAACACAAGGTGTATTCTCTCTCTCGCTTCATCACAATGTTTTACTTTAAGAAGTAAAGTTTATCAAGTGGAGGAGAATTGATGCAGGACAAGCAGGGATGAGTCTCACTAGAACAATTTTGAAGGCCAATTATTATAAGAATTATTTGTAACTTTATTTTATTATATTTTATTTAAGAAACAGGGGGCCAAGCAAATATTATTTGGAGGGAATTTCTATAATTTTAAAACCTATTTTTAGAAGCATATATATCAGCCCATATTAAAGATTCAAGAAAATCAATAAAATATTTAATTAAATCCTTTAAATTGGAGTAGTATTATTAATTTTTAAATACAAAAGGATCTTGAGGGGAGGTTGTTATTATAGCCTATAAATAAAATTTTACGAGGGATTTTGGTGCATTTCCTTATGAGTTTTCCTCATTTTCTATAATACCTCATGCACTATTTATAATCCCATTGATTCAATAAAAATATAGCCGTAGTGTCTTCAAAAATTTGTGTCTACAAAGAGTTGGTTTGACCAACTTTTGGATTAATTTTAAATCAACCACAGTCAAGGTTTGCGAACCTAAACATATCATTTTCTCTCTCTTTTCTTTTTCTCCTATATCCCTACCACCTTCCCAAAATTTTAACTCGTTTCAAAACCCACAAAAACTAAGCCATACCATATCCACAAAACCCTAACTCCCGTTATCCACCAACAATAAGTAGCACATTTAAAAACTTTATGAATCCCAAGCACACATCTACTTGGTCTAAAATCACCTCCATTAAGAAGTTAACATCCCAAACCTTTAATCTACAGATTTTTTGCCATTTTTCATCAAAGAAAACCTACCTAATCATTGCAAGTAAATTTCAAACATAAATGTATCCTAAACTAATTAATTTTTTTTTAACTTTCCACCAACGCAAAACATACCATCACCACTCAAACAACCCTTGAAACCTTTTAATAACAACACCATCAATTTATGCTACCAACATTTGAAACAAATATTCACAATAATAGTCAGCAACAAGAATTTTAAGTCATCCTCCACATTGCACAATATAGACTGAATAGTTTAGATAAATTAAAAATTTACTGCCAATTACAAATCCATTAAGAAAAAAAATGTAAACTTAACTGGACGAGATGATACAGCTTGAGCAATTTTGACAAATGCCTGCAACAGAATTGAAATGTTTGAATGTTAGCAGCAGGACTAAATTGAAAACTCGATAAAATAGTATAGCAACATTAAACCAACAAGCAGCACAAACAGGTCACAAGTTTTATAAAATTGTTAAGATAATTGCCATATAGATTGATAATGCCTCTAAATAAATACTCCATGGAAATAAAAAAGGGGTAGGAGAGATAGGATCACCTTGTCTCAACCCATGAGATGACTAAAAAAATGTTAGGCCGGCCCAAGAGGGGCCAGCTGGACCAGTCCAACCAAGACCGGTCCAAGTCTACTCTAGGCGGAAGCCTGGCTGGGTGGAAACAGCAAGGGGGGCGGAACCCCCTGTGGGCCCCCCACTTGGGGTTAAATCAATTTTGGGAGGGAAATTTTTGAATGAGGGGTTGTTTTAGGTATTTTGTAATTTTCCTTTGTCTTTAATTAGGAGTTATGGTGAGAGTTTGGGGCTCATCTTGAATTTGAATTTTATTTTGAGATCTAGGGTTTGTTCTTGGCTCTTGAGTCTTGGCGTTGCTGAAGATAGTTGAGAGTTTTTCCTTCCTCTCGAATTGAAGGAAAATTGTATCTTGCAAGTGTTTTTCATCTATTAGTGGAATATAAGTGTTTGCTTTGTTTTCCTACGAATATCTCTCTATTTTCTCTCAGTTTTCTCACTGGTTTGGGCTATTTTCTACTGTGGACAGCAGTTGTCATTGTTTAGATACGTGATTTGGGTTAGGTTTACTTGTGCATACAAGTATTACCTATCAAAAAACCATGACTTCTCCCAATAATAATGACAGAGAAAAAAAATTTCAACAGACTATTTAATAAGGTTAACAAAATCAAAATTAAAACAAAACAAATGCAAAATGTGGTAAAGAAAATCCCAGTGAATATTATCATAAGTTTTGGAATATCCATTTTAAAAATAATGTTACCCCCAGACACCCTAACATCCAAATAATGCAACACTTTTTGAGCTAATAAAATGTTATCCAAAATAGATCTACCTTTTACAAAGAAAGTTTGATTAGGAGAAAGGATTCTCGGATGAAAAGGAGAAAGGCGGTTCATAAGCATTTTAGAAATCACTTTACTAAAAAAAGTACACAGACTAATAGGCCTAAAGTCATTCCAACTAGAAGCCCCATTATTTTTAGGAATAAGCACAATGGAGGAGGAAGAGAAGAACTTAGGCTTAGATTTTCCAGCAAAGAATTCTAAAATAGCATTAAAAAGATCAAAGCTCATAATATCCCAAGCTTTTTGAAAAAACTTAGTCGTGTAACTGTCAGTTCCAACAATAGAATCAAAATTCAATTCAGGAGAGCCAAGCTATCGAGCTCGAGCTTGAATGCAAGCTCGTTTTGTAAACAAGCTCGAACTTGAGCCGGCTCGAAACTATTTGATATTTTTAATTAATAATATTTGTTAGTCTATTTAAAAGTTTTCCAATACCAACTACAGTTGCATAATAACAAAATTCTCGAATACCAATGCTAATTGATGTAAAACGCACAGGCAAGGATGATCCAAGTAATCAGAAAATATGGAGTTCCCGCGACAGTTGGAAGGCTTGAGAGGAAGTATGTGGCATCTAAGAACCTTCCTGAACGTGTGATCAGTAACCTAGAATGTCCGGGCTGTATTTGAAGTCCTTCCAAATGGTTGGACAGCAAGAAAACATGTGCAAACTTCCCTGGACAGCGAACCAAAACCTTCAAACAGCTTGTACGAAAGTTTGGACAGCACGCCTTGACCTTAGGAACCTTGGCAGCAGCTCTAAGGGTGATCGGATCTTAGGACAGTGCATAAAATCCGTCCAGAAAAATTCTGGACAGCAGTTTGGAAAGAAGAATTGCTGCGTTCCGGCTTTCTGGATGCAGAAATTGAAAGAGTATAACAGGAAAATTTGGGAATAACAATGGGAAATACTCTTGAGATTAATTTAATTGCCTAGGTGGCAACATTAATTAAATCCCAAATCAATTTGGGGGAGAGAAAATGGAAATATGAAATTAAATTTCAAATTAAGTGGAATTGGCGGCATGAATTTGAATTTAAATTCAAATTTTAATGGGGAGAATTAAATTGGATGAGAGATAATTGTGGTACGTAATTAGGGAGGCTTAATGAGGGGGGCTATTAATGAAATTGGAGAGAGAAAGCTCATGGAGAGGGGCCGGCCATAGAGGGAGAGGGGAGAGGGGAATTATGGCTAATTAAGTGGGGCCCACACATTATTCAGAGCATTAAAGAAAATCTGAATTAAAATTCAGATTTTATTTCAAAGAGGGGTTTCCTAATTTAAGTGCTAGTATTTGGAAAGCTTTTGAATTTCAAATTTGAATTTGAAATTCAATTAATAGCTCTGTAGAGAAGAAATAAATTGGGTTTAGGAAAAAGAAAATCCGGAGCTACACACCTCGAGAAACACCTCCAATAAAACTCACAAAGAGATCTACAACAAGCACCACTTCCTCAAGAACTCATAAAGAGATCTTGGGAATCTCGGAACTCACAAATAGATCCTTCTCCTCTCATAAACTCACTAAGAGATCAAACAAGTAGAATAAAATTTCATTAACGATTCATCATCCTATTACATAAGAAAGGGCCTCTATATATAGGCCTAAGAAACTAAAACAAGACACATATGCCCCTATAGCTTACATAGAACAACCCTCTTAAGTGAGGGTAAAAACGAAAAAATTTATAATAGAAATTTAAAAATTACAAATAAAATATAAGATAACGTGGGACGATGACAGCCGTTGATCTTCAGCTCCTCGGATAGCCATGGACGGTTGGATGTCCGCATCACTAATAAATGTTGCATCTTTAAAAACATTGTCAAAACCAGCGAGATCACTAAAATAATGAGATTTTCAAATATATATAATCAAAAAGAGGTGACATGCTAATAAATGTTGCAAGCTCTTGATCTCACGCCATTGGCCATTGCAAATCCGCAGCCTTCTTTGCTCAAGTTTCGCGTCGGCTCTCCACAAGTGCGAGAATCGGACGAAAAAAAAAAGCGGGCGGGAAACTGACGCAGGTGGGCGCAAGCGGCTCGATGAGCTCGATAAAGTATCTCGAGTTGAGCACGAGCTCGAGTTCGAGCCCGCTTTACGACTGACGAGCTGAGCTTGATGGTGCTAAAACTCGACTTGACTCTTTCACACCCCTACTTTCGATGCTTATTTTAAGAAAATAATATTTTTTTGCACCTGCATTAATGATTTAATAATGCAGTTGCATGGTTATCTTTGTGAAATATAGCCTTAGACCTCTGCTTTAACTTATCTCCTGACTAAGTCAAGAAAAGTACACGCATTGTAAGAAATTTAATTATACAAAACAGTATTTTTATGATAATGTAGAACACCATGGCCGGTCAATTAAGGATTTGAGCAACTCTCTTCTATCTGTTTTAAGGAAACTCTTGAAGCAAGCTATAAAATGGTGAAATTACTTGACCTAGCACCAATAAACATTGAAGAAAATTAGATTTGAGCAGCATGAAAGAGGACCGATTGAAATAACATTTGGCTTACCAATTAGGGGCAGAGTTTTGGTTATTAACTTCAAGACAAACAACTGGAAGATTTTAAATTGAAATTGACAACCAGAGCATCAAAATTAGGTTCAAAAGTGTCAAGTGAATAGAATGCAGGAAACGTTTTTCTTCTGAGTTTCATGTACTGCAGAAATTTTGTATTTGCTTCACAACAACCCTTGTTAGTCCACACACTTCTTAAATCTGGATAAATAAATACATCAAAGTGGATATATTTACTTAGCATAATATTTGTTTACCATCTTACATATTTGAAGCAAGCCAAACAACCCCCTGACATAAAAAAACATGAACCAGAATGTGAAACATACCGGGCCAAGTTCAAGCAATATCATGCGCAACTCACTAGCCCTAATCTGCAAACAAACAAAAGGGCAGGGCGTCAGGCCATAAGGAAGTCTCACAGAATCGGAAAAATAATTTCAAGATGCCTTCAATCTTTAACCTCGAATAGAGCAGGCTCACCTTAAACATTTCATCAGAGCGTTCAAGCAACCTATCAATGTAGCGTACGGCAAACCACCGGCCGAACTTGGTCCCAATCTGGACGAAGCGGCGAAGGACCAGGAACGGCTTCCGGCGATAGATAGCTGCAATCGACCGTAGGTCGTATTCGGTCAAAAACTCCGCCTCTGATAACACGCCATTCTCAAACAGATATCCCGAGTACTTGGTAAACGTGTCGACGTCGCCCGCCGGCGCCGCCTTCGCCACCACAGTGAGAAATCGGCGGTGTGTTCCAAGGGAAAATACCATGTGGTGGCAACGGTTTCCACCGGCAGACAAAACGCGCTGGCGCGAGTTGGTTCGAGCGGGGAAGAATAACACAGACGTTTGGTAGAGGAGAAGCATCTCCGATGGGAGATCTATTCCCGCTAAGAAGTAGTGGAAGGGGGAAGAAAGAAGAGGACTGCAAAGAACAATATGGCTCTTAAATCTTTTCCCTCCCCAGTCTGTGACGCGTCTCCTTTGAGTCCTTTGGCATGGCTGCACAGTGCCTCGACATGTCAACAAAAAAAAACACGCAAAGCAGTAAGGGAGATCGGGAGTGAGGACCACTAATTTATTGACGGGCGTTTAGCGCGGGGCTGAAGCTCAAACCCGCTAAACATCGTAAGCATTAAAAAAAAGAGATAACGTAGTGGATAAAGGATATGTGATGCATCAATATTTGATATTGAGATGTCTTCAAATAATTAGATTTATTCTAAGATAATTATGACATAGATTTTAATTAATTATGTATATATTGTGTGTGAAAATATTAAGAATTAAAATTTGATGTACTATTTTTATATGAAAATTCAACATGAACCTATATAGAGATAAAAAAAATTTACGTGAGACATCAAAAGTTTTATATGAAATTTTTGAAAAAAAGAAAAAAATCACGTGATTAGCTCTATTGAAATAATTCCAATAGTTTATATCATAGGTAATAAATAATCTTTTTTTTTTACTTAAATGGGGAATATATTGATATAATTGCGAATGATGTATTCAATTATTGAAGTTGACTGAGCATTTAAGTTATCATTTTGAGGTCATTTGTGTATGTTTGGTCGTCCATCTTTCAGGAGCAAGAAGTCAAATATAGATTTTGGTGTTAATATCAAGAGTTGGAGTTAGGGTCAATGGCATGCATTGGTATTATCGATGATAACATTCATTGACATTGGTGGAGATGGCGGGTGTCGACATTGGTGTCAAAGACATGCATTGGTCTTATAGTCAATGGGGTGCATTGACATTTTTAGCAATGAATTTAGCGAATGTACGTTAGTGTGCATCATCCTTATATAAAGTAGAGTGCATTGATTTTGGTGATGACAAAGGACGATGAAGTCAACGAGCATCAACATTTGTATTGATGGCTTGAATCTTGCTTATAACCGATGGCATGTGCCAACAACTATAAGCACACAAGTTTCAAATTAATTCTAAAAGTTTTCAATTCAAATATTATATCGAGATTCACGTTTGATCAAATAAATTTTCTGATGATGTATAATTTGCCACATATTTTCAAATGTTAAAATTTGTGTCATATATATTGAGTTCTTAAAAAATGTTATAACAAACAATTATAATTTTAAAAAAATCACTAGATGTAATAATGTTAATGTGAACCTCCTCTTAAGTCATGAATCAAATAAAATATTCTCAATCATAATTTCAATATTCCCTAAAGTTGGTGCATTGGTTTGAGCACAAAATATTAAAAATTTTAACTTAAAACTCCTTAGTTTGCTTAAATGTGATTATAGAGGCTTTACTAGGCTAAGTGTTGAAATTGAGTCCGTAATATTAAAAAATGATTCCAAGGATTTCAAAAAATGCTAGAAAATGTTTGTTTGGTCCTTAAAATAGTCACAAATACATGCACAAGGCAATAGGTCACTTAACTTGTCAACTTCTGACAATAACGGTGCGCTGGGATGTTGCATGCAAGCTAGTGCCTTAATTATAAAATTGTGATCATTATTGCTAGATTATGATCTCCCAACCACCTTCTCCCAACTATAGACACTTGATCATTACTGCCTAACCATGCATCCCAATCATCGTTACCCATCTATCGCAGATGACTTTTCATTGCTAGATCGCTAATGTTGGACAGTGTTCTCCTAATTATGTCAGACGATTATCTTTTCTTGACTATTGTTTTCCGCTATCATCAACAATGTCAATGTATGTGTCATCACCTATAAATTTGATGCACATCGTATACACATATATTAACACCCACCAACTTTGACGACCACTGTCACAAATGATGTTGATGTATGCCATCACTTATAAGGTTGATGCAAACAATCGACACAAACACCAATGCCTATTAACTTTGTCGCACATTATCGCTAACAACATTGATACTCATTATTGCCTACAAAGCTAATTCACACCATCAAAGCAAGATAATAGTGTCCATAGACTTCATCATCCATTATAGCTAACAATGTCGTTGTATGATATCACATATAAGGCTGATGTATTCCATCAACACAAATGCCAACACTTATAGCCTCCAACAACATCAATGTACTTCATTGCTTATAAGAATAATTCAAGTTGTTTATACTAACATTGACTATCAACACCACCACTAGCGATGAATGCCATGGCTCAAAATGAGTTTAAAAGATTGTCAGAAGGGGGAACCATCTTTCTCGAAATCATAAGAATGTGGAGGGAAAAATGCAGGTGTTGAATTGTAGTGTATTTTGTGAGGATGTAGTGCAGCTCCTTTAAAGTGAAGGCACTATTCTATGAAATTATAATGAATGAATATGATCTTTAGGTCCTATTTTTTATATGTTATTTTGATTTTTACTCTTGCCTAATAACTCAACTTTTCTTTAAATGTTACAAAATATAGAACTAGAGGCATACTTAGATACTATTTTAACAAAAAACATGTAAGTATTTATAAGGATAAAGTATATGTAGAAAAAGTGTAACATATGGTGGGATGCTGGAAACAGCGACCATAAAATGGAGTTGATATGTTATTAATTTGAGTTGGAGACCACAATCACTTACCTTTAGTTGTAGAAGTAAGATGTGGACTACATTTGAAATGAGCTACGTACAATATAAATGAGCTTAGCTCCATTAGAGAGACAACAGCCTCACAATAATTGAAGCAGAGAAGAGGGCATTTAAGATAAAACATTAGAGTCTATAACATCAGTTAGCATAGAAAACGGTCATATTTATTAGATGTTGTTGTTGGGATAGGCTATAAGTCTATTAAAATTTTGGAAGACTTCAAAAAAATATGTTATATCATTCCAAGATCTAGAACCACATTCAAGAAGTTCATTCTTAATACTAAAAATTTGTATCACTCCTAGGTTTTGAGGCAATTTGTGTCTACACATTTATTTTTATTTTTTAGTATTCTACACATTTATATTTATAAAATGGAATCAGTAAAAGCATAATGTTTTGGAATTTATAAATAAAATATAAACTAAGTACAATGTTTGAGAAAGGAATAATCGGTTGCAATGAAAAAAATAAGGTTATAGTCTTAGAAAAGATCTAGAGTTGCACTCTTAGATACTATCTATCATGCATGATTGTTGCCTATATACCTCTCAAGAGAGATAAATCTCAAAAAGATCAAGAGGAATAAAATCTACATTATTTGTATTATCTAATTAATATTTACTTTTATGATCTATATAGCCTTTTAATAAATATGTTTGGCTACTTGAGGTATGTAATTATCATCCTCTAGTTTCGCTAGCTCCTCTTTAAATTATTTGATAAATATGATTCTCACGTGTATTTCCCTATTAAACAAGCTCCTTTTTATAATTTGGCCAATAGTCTCCAATTATATTAAAATATAATTTTGATCCCTTAAATCTTAAAAAATGAATCAAAATAATCCCAATATGAGATTAATTTAATGTATTCTTAAAGATTTGAGGGATCCAAATGATCCTCTAATATAATTAAAAATCATTTTGATCCTTCATAAATAGTCAATAGATTATTTTAATTCTTTTCTCATTTATATACCTGATATTTAAAGTAATTATTTATATAATATTTTTATATCGTTATTTAAAATTTAAATAATAGATCTATAAATATATAAAAATTATATGCTATATATATATATATATATATCTCTCAAATCAAAATGATAGATACAATGTAAAGAAGAATAAAACAAATAGAAATAAAGAGCTCAGACAGATAGTTAAAGAGTTTGGGTCCTTATCTCCGTCACAACTGCTATGTTGTAGCAATATAAGAGTGAGCAGTCCAGCAAAAAAAAACCATCAACTGTTGAACAAAAAATTCCGTCACAACTATCAAACAAGAGATGGCACAACTAAAAAGCTGCTTTAAGAAGTGATAAGAAAGCCGCCCCAAACGAAACGTAAAGCTTGATTTGAGATCATTTCTTATTGCTTTATTTTTCATGTGGCAATCAAAGATTTTATTTGGACACTATTTGAGATCATTTCTTATTGCTTTATTTTTCATGTGGCAATCAAAAATTTTATTTGGACACTAATTTTTTTTATTTTCAAAAAATAATTTGTGCTTCCTTCCTATGTACAGTGTATCAAAACTTTTCTTTTTCCATAATAGCCTTACAATTAAATTTATAAAAAAATCGTAACCATCTCAAATGGGTTCTAAGAAAAAATGGTCTAACATAAATAAGTAGTATAAGACCAATAGAGATTCTGAAGTTGATTGTAGCAATAGTCATGTATAGAATAGCTCATAAGAGCACTAAGGGTATATTTGGAATAGCTTTGTTATTGCTTTGTTTTTCACGCAATCAAAATTTCATTTGGCTATCATTTTTTTGCTGCTTTCTCACTATTTTTCAAAAAATTTTGTGATGAAAAACTACTACTTATAACTAAAATATCTAAGTTATTTTTTCTATAGCAATCACAATCAATTTTATACAAAATTACAATTGTCTTACAAAGATCCTAAAAGAAGGATATCGGCATCGATGAGAAACAATCAAAGCTATTTGTCATAATTCCAAAAATTTTAAATATAAATCACATAAATTTATGTTGTTTTGAGAGATTCATTTGCTTTCATAGCCTCACAAACATAAAACATCTCTAAGTTTTAAATGAAGATAAATGGAGATATTACACTTTATACAAATAAAAATAAATATATTATTTTATCGGTACTTAGTGACCGAGTGGGAACATAAATAACGAATGTGACCCACCGCTGCTTGTTCAGGTGGTGAAGAGCCGGCTGGGCAAAGCCCAGGTCCCTGGTTCGAATCCCTTGGCAAGCAGTGAAAGCCTCAAGTGTTGGCCCGTATAAATTGGTGTGAGCTGCATGCTAGATCGACCGGGGTTTACACTGGCCTAAGGACATACTTCCTTGTCACAAAAAAAAACGAATGTGAAGGTGAGAGCTGGATGCAGAGAATAGCGTCATAATGATATGCTTCTCCGCAAGAATGTCTGTGTGTCTATGCTTTTTACCGTATAAAAATTTAGACTGATATTTTAGTTTAATTATTTTAAAAATATTGAG